TTCCTTCCTTCCTTCCTTCCTTCCTTCCTTCCTTCCTTCCTTCCTTCTTTACCACCTTCCCTCCCTTCCTTCCTTAATTCCTTCCATCCATCCTTCCTTCCTTCCTTCCTTCCTTCCTTCCTTCCTTCCTTCCTTCCTTCCTTCCTTCCTTCCTTCCTTCCTTCCTTCCTTCCTTCCTTCCTTCCTTCCTTCCTTCTATCCTTCCATCCTTATATCCTTTCATCCTTCCTTCCATCCATCCTTACTTCCATCCTTCCATCCATCCTTCCATCCTTCCATCCTTCCATCCTCCCATCCTTCCTTCCTTCCTTCCTTCCTTCCTTCCAGCAGTACTCAAGGTGTTATTTATGTGAAGCTTGTTTTTTTTTCTCCACCACTGTCTTTATCGTATCGCTCCGTGCGCGCACGCAGGTCCAGGTGTTTGTACGCTCGCACGGGGATAAGCGTGGGCACGTGCTCCCAAGACGCAGCCCACTTGTTCTTGATGAGCTGAACAAGGTTTTATGTTCTGACAATAACACAGGCTATTTCTCTGGAGACAAAATACCTCTTGATGTTTTAAAGATGAGCGGCGCCATATGGTGGAATTATTCCAATTTATGTCCTCTGGGTTAATTAGGCTCACATATTAATTTAAATAGTAACATTAGTAATAATATCCAGGCTGTTTATCAAACAGAAGTGACAAACACATCATGAACATGGACTTATAGTGGATATGATACATCTTACAAACGTATCTCTTGACTTTAGATGTTGGTTTATTATATTTTAACACATAAAACATGTAAATAGAAACACATAGATTGTTGTCATTGCTCGAAAGAGGTCTGAGAGGGACTTCCTTCAGTGATATGCACAAAATAATAGAAAAAATGCATGATTACAGAACAGCAATGCATAAAGACAAGTGAAAAACAACTTAGCAATAAAACAAAAACACTTTAATTCCCATAACAGCATGTCAGGTATTACATGAGTTCAAAGTTTATACCCGAGGGATTAAAACTGTGTTTAAGATTATTTGTTTTACTTGAAGCATCTGAACCGTGTGCCTGAAGGCAGAGGTTTAATAGATCCTGTTCAGCGTGGGGCAGGTCAGAGGGAGTCAAGTGTATTAAGGAAATTAAATAAAGTGTCTAGGGTTTAAAATATTGTCTTTTTATTGTGCAGCTGTCACTTTTGTGTTTTGGTAAACAACTTCATTTTATCAAATGATGCTGGCAGCAAAATATTCCCTCATCTAGTTGTCTTTTTTGGGGGGGTCTTTCTTCCATATTTTAATATGAAGATTAAAAAAAAAAGTTTAATTGTTTTTTTGCTTTGTTTCAGATCACATTAAACAACATGTTCTTAATAACCTGAGAGGTTTACCGTAATTTTCGGCGCACCGAATTATAAGGTGCGATATCAATGAACGGGTCTGTTCATACATGAAGCGCATCAGATTATAAGGCGCATTAAGCAAAACAAAACAGTCAGATAAGACAAACTTTATTGAACTCATTCACAATAACTCCCATCATTGTTCAGTTGTACCACATAAAATCTGTTCAAGGTCCACACGTACAACCAGAAATAATACATAAGGCTCACTATCGATTTTTGAGAAAATTAAAGGATTTTAAGTCCGCCTTACGAAAAATATGGTATTATGTCTAAAAATTAGAAGATTTCAGAGTTACAGCGTTAACAATTATTTGCACAGCATGTTCATTTTTGTCCATCACCAATGGGGATGGTGGTGGTGGTGGTGGTGGGTGGGGGTGGGGGTGGAGGGGATATATCATGAACAACTGGATGGATTTCCATTAAACTTTCAGAAAACAACATTAGAAGCACCTCTGATGAAAAATAGGTCAACCATTTTTAAGATGGCTGCCACAGTTAATCAACCTTTTCAAACATAAAAATGAAAATAATCCCATACTTTAAACCAGTGGCTCTCAAACTGGGGTGCCCAGACACCTTGGGGTCTGCGAGCCACTGCTTGGGAATCTGCAAAAAACCCTAAACATATATTTATTTTATTTTATTTTTTTACAAGCACGTAGATGTTTATTAACCCATTAAAAATCACCAAAATGCAGGAAATCGTATTTACTTTATTCAAAATTTTCAGGTGGAGGACCCCCCCCCCCCCCCCCCCCAGCTGATCTCCATGCAGAGCGGAGATCAGCTGATCAGCTGCAGTAGGAGGCTTCTCCCACAGCTGCGGGCTGCACACAGGTGCTAAATCATTTAAGACAATTTATTTCAAATACAAATTCACGTCTATCGTGCGGCTCAGCCATCAATCAGCCAATTGCGTGTCAGGTTCAATCTCACTTTGAAAAACCGCGATAAAGCGAGTCTGCGAAAATCGAACTGCAAAGAAGCAAGAGATTACTGTATCGTCTTCCCAAAGAGAAAGCGCTCACCAGTATTTTACATCTTCACATGTAAAGAAACAACAATTTGGATAAAATAAACAGTTAAAAAAAAACTAGGCAGAATAAATATCTAAACAAATGTAGTGAACCAGATGACCTCAAATCTACCAGATGGACAGAGACTGTTATTTTCATTGATCTGAATAAGTCTGAACCATCTGATGAACTTTCTTTCTTGAATTAATCAAGCAGAAAAGACAATTCTTTATAATCATTACTGTCTTACAAATGTTTTGATAATCAAATTGTGTTAGTTCACTCAATGCTTATAGGTTGAGAAGAACTACTCATCTTTATTTTACATAAACAGTAAGTAATGATTTTTATTCCTCATTCCAAGAAGAAATCACCTGAATAAGCATTCCTTGATTTTCTGTCTGAAATGAGTCAAGTCGTAAGTATGTGAAAGGTTGGTTTTCGGTCAACTAAAATGTTTACCGAGAAAAATGTCATGTTTAAACTTTTTCAGAAGATTACCAAGAGTTGACTCCACGAAGTCTGCTGCTTCTGCAATAATCTCTCTGTATGTGAAAACAGATTCATTCCCTGACCTTGATTTTGATAACAACTTACGTCACGAAAACACACCTCTTTCTGGTACATCCACGAATCAGAAAGCTCTAAATTGAACAGGAAGTCGACCCAAATAAAATGTGGCAACTTCTCAGTTCATGTTAGATTCAGAGTGATATGGAGTTCCAAGATTGAGAGTTCTGGAGAACGTGAGAGTTCCAAGATTGAGAGTGCAGTCGGTTCTGAAAGCTTCAGAGCAATGAAGAATCCAGAGGTTTTTTGGGGATTATAATTCTGTTTTGAGCTAACCACGCACGACTCTCTGAAGGTTTGGTAGCTCTCGACGGAGACGCTGAAACGAGTCAGAAAGGAACTACTCCAAGGCTGATTCATCATCAACAGGTAGATGGTTCTATTTTGACCAAGTGTACCGTGAGAAGCTGAGATCGGACGGAGCGTGCAACTTCTGGTCAAACAGATTAAATTCCCTCACATATTTCCTCTGTAAGATAAATCTCAATTTAATCTTAAACTCTTCTCTCTCATAAATCAGTACAGATATTTTTAGAAATGTCTGAAGCAAAGTCCTCAAATCACCGCCGAGTGATTTGAAGTTCATTATTTGTGAAACTGTCTGTTATTATTTTCATATTTTGCCAAATTAATGTAAATATTTGATGTTAAACTTTGATTCTGAAAATAAATGATTCCATTCATTTGATGGGTCAAAGGTAATAACGTCTCTTGTTCGCATTCCTTTAAATTCAATGCACGGCATTACACAGTCAGAAAGATGAAGAACTCGTGAAAAGTATGCATAAATATATATCCATATATTTGTCATACAACAAGTGACACGTATCTCACGTGACTCACTACAACTGGTGGCCCGTAAACGTGTTCATGAATGACTGTTAATACGTGTAAAGATGATTTAAATGTTGGCATGTTGAAAAGGTAACAGTTTATCAGCTGTGCTGAAACCGTGCGTCTTTACGCAGCGCAATTGGAGCTGCGCGCTTGGAGCTGCACCTTTCAAGCAAACGCTGCATGTATAAGCGTTGGGCTGGCAATGTTTTAAGAGCTGAAATTGTACGTCTGTTACGTGTAACTAAAAGCTGATGAGCTGTGGAAGACGTTATTCTGTTTAAAAGTACGAGGTTCTGCTAAGACCCGGCTGTGGGTTCTGTTCAGTTTGAACGAGTATTTTGAATAGATGGATAAACGTTTTAAAAGCTGAGTGCCATCTCAGAACACAGTTAGAAGTTGTTTCGCTACAATTTTTAACAGAAAAAGTGCATTTTGACAGTTTAAAAGACGAAAAAGTGACGAACTATTTTACGCTAATCTAACTTGCTAGCTGGAGAATACGCTTCGTGATTGGTTGAATTCGCTGTTGTGGAGCGCTTTCATTGGTTGAGAAGTTTGACTGACGTGCTACGTCATCTCCCCTCAAGCCTGCGCTGCGTTGCCATTGGTGATTTCAGTCACGTGACCCGGAAATGAAATTCGTTTTCATAGGGAAATAAAATCTGCTTTTTAAAGCTGAAAAGTAACTTTAATGTGGTTTTGACACGCTGGTTAAGTGCTTCGAAGCCTGCTTGCTGAAATTCTGCCACGTTACAGTTTAAAATTCGTCAAAAAATGATGTTTTTAAACAACGCTAGCGATGCTAATTTTTAAGCTAACAAGCTAACGACCGGAGCTTAAACTACGCTTAAAATCACTAAATGAAGCTACCAACAGACCCAAAAACTCATGTTTGAAGCTATAAAGTCGTGTTTGTTGAAATTTTGCCACTTTTGTGTAAAAAATCCGTTCAGAAATGTTGATTTTAACCGAGTTTAGCCAAAGCTAACTTCAAGCTAAGCG